AGAGAGAGACAGAGAGAGAGAGAGAGAGAAAGAGAGAGACAGAGAGAGAGACAGAGAGACAGAGAGAGAGAGACAGAGAGAGAGAGAGAGAGAAAGAGAGAGACAGAGAGAGAGACAGAGAGACAGAGAGAGAGAGACAGAGAGAGAGAGAGAAAGAGAGAGACAGAGAGACAGAGAGACAGAGAGAGAGAGACAGAGAGAGAGAGAAAGAGAGAGACAGAGAGACAGAGAGAGAGAAAGAGAGAGACAGAGAGACAGAGGGAGAGAAAGAGAGAAAGAGAGAGACAGAGAAAGAGAGAGACAGAGAGACAGAGAGAGAGAGAGAGAGAGAGAGCTTCAAGGTGGACTCCTGCCCCAAGAGAAGGAGCCGTCCTCTTCCAACATGGAAGTTCTTCCAAAGAGTGAGGCCAGGCGGAGGGAGAAGCTAGCCAGCCCTTGCCTGCCTGCCTGCCTGCCTGACGTGTGACGGAGAGAGATTGTTGGGTTACTGAAGTTCAAGTGTTTGTCTGTCCTACAGTCTTGCGTCAGTAAAAACGCTGAAGCCGATGTTAACCTAAATCTATTCAATGTGACCCAACAAGACGAAGGCGAATATCTTTGTAGAGCCAACAATTTCATAGGCAGAGCCGAAAAATCATTTTGGCTCCACATTCACAAACCAGAAGCAGGTAATTCCTCCACTCTGTCCCAGAGGCTTCGCAGCTGCACGAACCAGACCGGGGAATAAAAGGCTTCCAACTGCTCGTCCTTCCTCATCTCTGGGTCCTCCTGGGGTGCTTCTCCCCCCCACCCACTCCCCTTCCTCTACGTCTCTGAGATGACGGCTTTGCCTTTCCTTCTCCCTCACGCTCAGAATAACCGAAACGCTTTATGAATCATCCGCTCAGAAAAATCCCCACATTCATGACTGTCTTTGAAGCTCCTCCCCCCCTCCTGGTTGCGTGATTAACCAATAATTAAGATAATAGTTGCGTGATTAACCAATAATTAAGAGAGACCAGGCTCTCTGCCTGGTCAAGTTCTCCGCCGCCTCTTCTCACGATGGCCAGGCACCCCCGTTGGGTCCTTTGCAACCAAGGCCAGGCCATTCGAAGGCCTTCCTCGTTTTCACAGGCTTCCCCCGGCCCCCCGCAAAAAAAACCCCGGGCCAGGGAATGTACTGAAAGCTTCCTAAGAGATCTAAGAGAAGCCGGGGTTTTCTGGATGGAGGGTGGGTGGGGGGGACGGACAATCTCTGGGCGAATTCGGCAAATGAAAAAAGGGAAAGCTTTTCTCTGGTGAAGAAGCCCTCGTTTGCCCAGTGGCCTTGGGTCCCCCCTGCTTGCCTCGGCTGCTTCTCTCCCTCTTCTCAGCCCCTCCTCCCCCCCCCCCCCCCCCCGGAGACAGTCATATTGTGAAGGGGATTTTTCACTTGGAGGCTTTGGCCCGCATGTATCCTTCGTGGGACAGAGTCAAGAGGCTGGTGAAGGGAGCTGACCGCTTTGGAAGCCAACCCTGGTTGTGGAAGGGGAGCCGGAGAGGCCCCGGAGGCCCTTCCGGTCGCCCTCTGCTTTGGAAATTTGTCTGGGTGATCTTTTCTGGGAATTTTGCTTATCCTGTTCTCCTTCTTCCTTCCCTCCTTCCTATCTCTGTTTTTTTTTTGTTCTTTTGTTCTTTCCTCCGTAGACAGCAGGTGTTAACAAAACGGATAAAGAGCTAGAAATTCTCTCCTTGCACAATGTTACTTTTGAAGACGCTGGGGAATATACTTGCCTGGCGGGGAATTCTATTGGTTATTCACATCACTCTGCTTGGCTGACGGTATTACCAGGTATTTCTGCTTGGTCTCCTTTCCCCCTTTTGCCTCTTAAAAGGGCAGAGAGCCCTCTTGCGCCAAGGTGCAGCTCTTGAGCGGGAGATGCGCCTTGCGTTTCAGGACAAAACGATCATCTTCAGTGACCAAAAACACATTTCATTTCATGCAACTGCCTATAAAATAAGCACATTTCTATTCTGGAGTAAGTCTGAACTATTAGCCTTTCTCCAGCTGGGGAGCCCTGGTGGTGCCCCTTTTCGGAACTGTTGTGGGTGCAGCACTGACGTTTAGACGGCCACAAGTGTGTGAGAAGAGGGAGGCTGCCTGGATTCAGCTGAACCGCTGCAAAGGCCCTTGTGACTTTTGGGTCCCTCCTGGGGGCCTCCGAGAAGTCCAAACGCCTTTGTTTCACACCACTTACAAGCTGGGGCGTTTCTGAAGGCGTTTCCATGCTCAGTCTATGGAGTGGTTTCCTGTGACTGGATTCCAACTTTCACTGGCTGAATTGCGCCCTCATTTAATTTGGAAAACATAAGCTGCCTTCTGGGAAGCTTGTGAGTCACTTGTGGCTCTCAGCGTCCGTGGTTGATTTTTCACAAGGTCGACCTGATGAAGGGCCTGCTGGCTCACCCCACCCACCCACTCACACCCCTCCTTCTGCCTTGGGGTGTCTCTTGGCGGGGAGGAACTTTCACCCTTTGCGCCAATGAATCACACAATCCCAAGTGAAACAATGCCACTCTCGGCCCCAACTCCAGAAAGCGGGTGCCAGCTCATCCCAGGAACGCTTAGTGCTGCAACACGAACTGAAATTTTGCACTCCAGCACTGCTCTTTTAACACACGTTTGTTTGGCGTTGCTGTGCGTGTTAATGACACTTGGGTGTGTTGTTTCAGTATTTAAATGGCTGGTCCTAAATAAAGGATCTGGCGGAGAAAGCTATCCGATTTTCGGAAAAGAGACCTTCGTGTCTCATTTGCTGAAAACCCTTTTGCACCAGGGTTCTTCCCCAAATTTAACGGAATCTGGAGATGGCAGCCATTTCGTGCATTTGTTTTTTGCAGTTGTGTGTTTTAGATTGGGGATGATCTGTGCTGAAACGAATATGGTTAGGCTGCCATTATTCTGCTTCCTAAAGTGTGCCTCTCTCCTCCTGCAGCAGAAAAACGGGTTGCAAGAAAGGATTCCAGCTCGTTTTACGCAGGCATCCTCAGCTACGGGATCGCCTTCGCGCTTTCCATCCTGGTGGCCGTGATGGTGATGATTTATAAAATTAAAAGGCCGGCTAAAAAAGCCATGAACGCCTCCGCAGTCCAGAAAGTCTCCAAGTTCCCCCTCAAGAGACAGGTAACAGAAAGTAGATACAAGATCTCTGTTCCCCTCTATTCCTTATGCCCCCCCACCCTGCGTCCCCCTGGCTGTTTAGACGTTAGAGAAGGATTTAAGCGGGTTACTCAGGGGCAGGATTCAAATGTTTTTACTACTGGTTCTGTGGGCGTGGCTTGGTGGGGTGTGGCATGGCTTGGTGGGCGTGGCAGGGGAAGGATACCGCAAAATCCCCCTTCCCTCCCGATCAGCTGGGACTCGGGAGGCAGAGAATAGATGGGGGCGGGGCCAGCCAGAGACGGTATTTACCAGTTCTCCAAACTACTCAAAATTTCCACTACCGATTCTCCAGAACTGGTCAGAACCTGCTAAATACCACCTCTGGGGTTACCATAAAGCTTCGTTTTATGGAGACTATGGATTTATTTTAGCTTTGCTGTTTCTGGGGTCCTAACGCTTGTTGTCTGCTGGCTCAGGAATTCTGGGAATTGAAGTCCACATAAAGGAGGCAAGAAAGAGAGAGAGAGAGCAAGCAAGGAAGAGAGAGACAGTGACAGAGAGACAGAGAGAGAAAGAGGGAGAGAAAGAAAGAAGGAAGAAAGAGGGAGAGATACAGACAGAGAGAGAGAGAAAGAAAGAAAGGAAGGAAGGAAGGAAGGAAGGGAGAGAGACAGACAGAGAGAGAGAAACAGAAAGGAGGCAAGAGAGAGAGCAAGCAAGAAAGAGAGACAGAGACAGAGAGACACAGAGAGAGAGGGAGAGAGAAAGAAGGAAGGAAGAAAGAAAGAGAGATAGCAAGCAAGAAACACACACACAGACAGAGAGAGACAAAGAAAGAAGAAAGAGAGAGAGAGAGCAAGCAAGAAACACACACACAGACAGACAGAGAGAAAGAAAGAAAGAAAGAAAGCGTGATAGCGAGCAAGCTAGAAAGAGAGAGAGAGAGACACACACAGAAAGAAAGCTGCTGTTTCTCCATGCCAAATATAAACCAACATGGTTCAAGGCTGCCTGAAGATCACAGGAAGGGTTATAGTACTACTACTCTATACTGCAGCCAAGTTAAATTCCAGAGACAATTACTGTTTTCCAGGAGCAGGCAAGGTAGGTAGGTAGGTAGGTAGGTAGGTAGGTAGGTAGGTAGGTAGGTAGGTAGGTAGGT